AAACAAAAACGTTACTTTTTACTCTGAATGACAACTTAACCCTGGAGGACAATTTGCCGGTAAAATGCCTGGGACTAACATTAGATTGTAAGCTGACATGGGAGGCTCACATAACCAATCTGAGAAATAAATTAGCTACCTCCATATGACGACTGTATACAATTTTTTTAATTGTCACACAAGAGAATAAACTCTACTCTACTCTACTTTTGTAAATTCATTTGCAGATGATACACTATTGGCATGCTACGATACAAGCTTAGATAAAGCTATCGATAAAATGAATGTCGCATTAAAGGATGTAAATGAGTACTTCATGGCAAATAAATTGAAACTGAATAAAATGAAAACTATAGGAATGATTATTACAAATATAAATGGAACAACCTTGATTTAAATGAAATAAATCTACAAGTCGATAATGAAAACATTGAAATTGTGTCATGTATCAAATATCTGATTATATATGTAAAAAAATATCTAAAAAACTATATTTCTTTGCAAGAATATCTGGTAATTTATCCACTCAGTCTAAAATGACTGTAGACAATGCGATAATCCAACCACATTTTGATTACTGTGCTTCTATTATTTTCTTGTTTAATCTAAATCAGGGATGTTCAATTGACGGGCCCCTCGCCGCCCGTGGCCTTCAGTTGGATATCCTGAACGCCTGAACGACTTTGAAAAATATTAGATATTTTTTAACAAAAACATAAAATTAAAATTTTTACATACAAATACAAATTGTATATTATTAAGACCTAATTTTTAATGTTTCAACTAGTAAAGTTAAGGTTTAATGCTAAGTATAAGAGAATCAGTAGGATTCTCTTATACTTTTTATAAAATGCTATATTAAAATTAAAGAGTGTTCCAAAACTCACATGTAGACGGTGTTCATTATTCAGAAAAGGGATATAAGATTCATGTGTAATGCCAAAAGTCGAGACTCCTGCAAACCCCTATTTGAATTACATAAAATCTTGACAGTTTTTGGAATCTTTATTTTAGAAACAGTATGTTTAATTAACAAACATAAATTGATATTTAGCGGTTACTCCAATTATTATGCTCTTTGTCAATCTAACGACCTAAGATTACCCATACCAGCCTCTATTCTAGTCAAAGACTCTATATATTATAATGGTCTCAAGATGTTTAATCATCTACCTGACCATATACAAATTTTAGAGGATAGCTGTGTATTTTGAAAATCAGTAAAAGACTTATTATGTGGTAGACCCTATTATAGTTTAGAAGAGTTCTATGAGGAACGCTTTCTCTAATTTATTTTATCAACTGTATTTTTTATTAAACAAAGTATGGTTCACTGCATTTGAATATTTTAAACTTTTTTGGTATTTTCTATTGTATGATATCTTTAATCAAATTTATATGTGTTTGAGTATTTTACCATTATTTGTACCCTATATGTGAATGTGTGTGTATATGTGGGTGTCTTGGGGTTTGGATTCTTGTTGAATGAAAGTTTTTCCTTTTTGATGTATATAAAGACGTTTTGTCCTAGGTCGAGGACTTTTTCAATTTAGTTTCTTATATTTGAGCTAGACTGCATTGTTGAAATAAAATAATTTTTGACATTTTTCTTTGTTATTTATGTGGAAGTTTTTTGTTTTTTCTGTCATAGTGATCTTGTTGTCTTGATTTTTATTTCACTTGTTAATGGCGGTGGCGTGAAACAACTTTAAACATCAATAACTTGAACAAAGATATTTCTATTCAAAGAGAAAAGTTAGAAAATAAATTGCCAAACGATATACTTGAAGAATTTTTTAAACTAGAACACAAGAAAAATGAAAAATATTTTCTAAACATAAAACAAAAAAACATTAAAAAAATTCACAACCTCCAAACAAACAGAAGTCCCCAACATCAACAGATGAACACATCCTTATGACTTACAAACCTCTCCAACACCAATATCCCCAAAGACATAGAAAAATATTCCACTGCAATAATTTCAGAAAGCCAAACTCCTTCCACTGAATATATAGCCAGTATAGAGGCAATATTAATTAATAATGAACAAGACACCAATAACGAAATAAGATTACAAATTGTCAATGCCATTAACAAACATAAAAATAAATTGAACAACAATAAGAACAATAAAAATTGAAAGGATTATATTTTTAGGAGTGATTAATTTTTGGGAAAGAAAGTTTTTGGCTTTCTACTACTCCATCTTGATACAAAAAAAGGATGAGGGAATCTTACAAAGAAAGGAAGTAATCAATTTGAAAATAAGTAACTCTATACATGGATGTGTAGATCATGCAAAGAAGTAACTTTCAGACACAAACTGAAAGAAAGTCCTCCTGAAACAGCTACTCTCATATAAACATTGAATTACACGAAAGAAAAAAATTCTTTCAGAACAAATACTTCTATATGAACACTGAATTATTCAGAGGATACTTTTCTCTACTCAGTTTGTATTTTAAACATTCGTTGTGGAATAAAAATAAGATATCATTCACATGAGTTCTACTTTAACAGATTGCACTTACATGGAACACTGTCACCCTCACTGGTATACATCGATGTTTCGCCTTAAAGACACTTGCCCTAAGGCTCTTCAGAACAAAATTGGATAAAATTATAGAAAATACACACAGGAGGACTTTCTTTCAGTTTGTGTCTGGCAGTTACTTCTTTGCATGATCTACACATCCATGTATAGAGTTACCTATTTTCAAATTGATTACTTCCTTCCTTTCTTTGGAAGATTCCTTCATCCTTTTTTTTTGTACATACATACATTTCAAATCAATTTAAAAAAATAACTAATCCAATATGCTATCGCACCCAAAATATATGGCCTACCCAAATTACACAAAACCAATATACCCTTAAGACCCATTGTATACAGCATTCAATCCCCATTTTATAATCTTTCAAAATTTTTAGGGAACAGCATATCCAATATTATCAACAAAAATAGCTACTATGTTAAAGATTAATTTTCTTTCATTTAATTAAAGAAAAAAAAAACAAAATTATAACCAAATGGTACACTAAACCGACGTGGTCAGGACTTTACCTAAACCGACGTGGTCAGAACTTTACCTAAACTATAATTCAAATCACCCTATAACACATTAAAAAACCGTTGTAAGTGGTATGGCTGATAGAGCAATACACCTTAGTAGTCCATCGTTAAGAGAAGAAGCTCTAAATAAAGTAAGAAAAACACCCTCCTTAATAATAATTATCCCCTTCAGTTCATAAACAAAATAATAAATACAAGAATTCATAAATATTATAACCAAACAAGATACTCACAAAATACTCCAGAAATGAAACAAAACATTACAATTCCTTATGTACCAAATTTATCAGAAAATATAAGAAATATTCTCTCCAAATACAACTATCAAGTAGCGTTCAAACCCATTAACTTACTTAAACAGCTCTACACCACCTTAAAAAGTAAAACCCCAAAAATGGTACTACCAACTGTCAAAAGCGCTCATTGTGCGGCCCCCGTTTTTAGTGAAAGTATTGAAGTGGCCCTTTGGGCAAAAGAAGTTGCCAATCCCTGATCTAAATCAAACATCTCAATTACAAAAAGTTCAAAATTGCGTTATGCGAATTGTTCTAAAAGTGAATAGATTCACTGAAATCGGAATCATGTTACAAACTTTGCGGTGGCTACCAGTTTCTTTACGGCTGTATTACTTAACTATGACATTTATATATATAATTCTGAATGACTTATCACCTTCATATTTTTCTAAATTTGTCAGTCTAAATTCAGAAGTGCACAAATATGCCACAAGAAATCATACTTATTTGCATTTATGCCGAACAAATAGGAGAAGTGCCATGAATTCTTTATTTTTCAAAGGGTTTGATGCATACAATAAATTACCAAATGAAATTAAATCTAGTCCATCATTAAGTATTTTTAAAAAACAGTTATTGAAATCCATCCATAATGCTAGATAGAATAATACTTGGTAAGATAATATTAATAAATATAGTATTTGTATGTCGTTTTCTGCTTTTTATCATTGTATTGGAGCTGCATCTATATTGCAATGTATTTTTAATAGCATATGTCGTTATTTTCCAAATTAAAAATTTTTATTTTCAATTTTGAAGTATATCTACATTTCAAGTTTTCTTTTATAATTATTTTCAATTTCTATGTTAGTAATATGTTTTATATAATATTGTGTATTAGGATTACCTATTTCAATAAATATATTCTTCTTCTTAATGAGCTCTAGACAGCGGTTGCATATTGTAAACTTTAGGTGATCTATTGGACAATTCTAAGATACCACATCTCTATTTCTACTGGTTTGGATAAGTGACAAACCCAATCGATTACCCAAATGTTGTTAGGTTTCAGTCAGAATATAGACTGGTTTGAAATAATGGATAGGCAGATGTCTTAAAGAATGGCCCACTAGATAAACTGATATGAATCCCTTATATTTTATGTGGGGATTCGTGAAATTCAATATACATAACCGCATTCCATTCCAGAGCTCATTAATAGAAAAAAAGGTGACTATCAGCCCAATTCAATTCCATAATGCAAGAAATTAATTTATAAAAAAACTTATTATCAGGAAGTGATGGTGGACATTTTCAACAATTATTGGGATGAACTGGCGAGAGTTTTGAAAACATTTTGTCTTGAATTTATTATATTTATCATTTGATAGAGAATAGAAATACCTATCAAACGAGGAATCACAAAACCCCCTTTCTATAATAAGGTAACGTTCTGTGATGCAACACTATTGTCTTCATTACAATTTACTAAAAATGAAAAAATTTAATCTGAATTTTATCAGACCTTGGTATCTTGTCCCGTTCGAACGAGGAGGGGAAACTTTTTACATCTGCATTGTAGGCCCGATAAACCTCGTGACCTTTCAAAATTATAAAATCAGACTGACATAAATTCCAGTAATACACAAAACTTGGTCCAATAGTGGTAACATATGTTTAATTCACAGATGAAATCGCCAAATACCTCGACAGAGTGGAAATATCCTTCATTTACAATTGCACAGAACCGCTTCCAAAGGAAAAACTTTCCAGAGCGAAAAAGTATCCTGATTACAACCCCAATACTGATCTTATGCCTGTCCCTATTTTTGTTTTGAGGAAATGTCGTGATAGCGACAATCCCTGCAGAATTTTCATTGATGATACTGGTCGGACCTACCAAAGTTGGGTTGAATATATAAACAAGAATAAGCTGCATGAATGCAAAATGGTTCTGCCGCGGATGGGAAGGTAGGTTGCACTGAAACTCTTTTCTAAATAAAATGTTGGATAATAGATATTCACTTTCGGGGATTGATTAAAGTCCTTAGATAGACATAGTCATTGAAAAATTAATTGATTTGACTTAATTCAATGTTCACATGAAAGTAGTAGTTTCAAAATTATTTTTTCGTTTGTTTAATTCAATGTTTATGTGAAAGTATTTGTATTGGGAAGGCTTTTTTCTTTCAATTTGTTTCTGAAACTAACTTATACCTATGCATGATCTACATATCTTTGTAACTTTGAACTTAATTGCTTTATTCTTTCCTTTGGAAGTTTACCACATTTTTATTATAGAGATAGAGATAGAGTTTTATTTAACCATGTTACTTATAAATACATTTATGGCAGGCCACAGTACATAAAGAGAAACATTGCAATAAAAATAAAATGTTATACACATAAAAGGAATACATATAAATAACACAATAAAATTATTATTTGAAAATAATTATTGGCTGACCAAATAATCATTTGATGCTAAAAAAAATATATGTTATGGGTTTTTTAATGAACTCTCTTGGTTCAAATATTCCATTATATTGTATAAACATTTCTCGAGGAGAAACTTTTTGATGACGGCTTTGAATTTGTTAAATTCCAATGATTTCACTGATTTATCGAGAGTATTATACAAATTCAGGTTCAGAGAATTTTTATTGCTAACAGCTAGTCTATGCCGTTGGGGATTCAACATCTCTGCAGATTTTGTGTTGTACTATTCTGATATTGAAATATTATTATGGCATTACTTGAGTTGCCCCAAAGAAGAATACCGTATGAGAGTATAGAATGAAATAAAGAGAAGTAAGATATTTTCAATACGTTTAGATTGGTAACTGGTTTGAGTTGTCTTAAAACAAATAAAACTTTAGAGAGCTTTCGAAGTACATAATCTACGTGACTGGACCAGTTTAACCGATCGTCGATGATTATACCAAGAAAAGATACATTTTCTTTTTTCTTACAAGATTTGAACGCTTGCTGATTCTGAACGATGTCTTTGATATTTTGATGTGAAAACACTGTACTATATAGAACTCGCTTGGGGAAAATGTAGCTTTTGAAACTCTCATAAGAAGAACGTTTCGTCGTTACTGCGGCAGACACCATCAGTGGAGGATGAAGGATATATCTCTAAGTGTAAGTCAGTCCTTGCTGAAGTTACATATCGAAGTTTAGGTCAGTTTTGCTGAGACTTCAAGATATAATCTTCGTCTTCGCAGTCAACATATATTTCACTGATGATGCCTGTCGCATCAGTAGACAGAACGTTTGATACTTTGAGTTTCATTTGACTAGGGTCTACCAGCACGAATTTTATTCTCTTCAATTGTGACTCCGTCCTTGAAAGCCTATGTTCTTATGCTGAGTTCTATTGTCTACAATGGAATCACATTTTTTTATAATGAATATATTTTGGTATCCCTCTTTCCTATCAATAACCCAATTTTTCCATATTGAAAAAAAAACAGTTTCAAAATTACATCGCCCATATCATAGTAGGTTGCTCTACATTCATCCACTTGTGTGCAATAGGGCCTGGAAATCTTATGAAATGATATTCTGCAAAGAGTTTGTATTCGCCTTCAAGATTAATACACTTTTATGTTCAAACCGATTCTCAAAACGGTTTTACCAGACACATTTTTCGTTTAACTTAAAATAACAAAAAAGTCCTGAGTGAGATAAATTTAAACGCTAGTATAATTTAAATCATAACAAAGTTTAAACTGAGAAGTTTATGAAATTCAAGTTAACTAAACTCCAATTATAACCTTTTTACCTAACATGGAGGTCTTTATTTAATTCACGGATGTATTGAATTGAGCTAATCACTGCAGGTGTAGAAGAAGTCAGTGAGTAATGAATTTCACTAGTTCGGACTTCCATTGTCTACTATATAAAATGATTTGAAATCCCTGAAACAAGTAAAAAAGAATTAAAAAGAATAGTTGAAAATAACAATTATATTAAGCAACAATAAACCTAATAATTGAGTCCCTAACTAGGGAGCTCGTAGGAATAAGCAGGTCTATATATCTGCAGATTGTCATAGTTTTTCGAGTGTAACTGTTTAACGATTTTATGCAAGCAGAAACCTTCTAAGTATTACAGGATCCAATGATTTTCTGACTATTGATCTTTGTTCATACTAGTAATCCGACCTCAGATAGCAGCAAATGCCTACATTTTTTTCTGTCATGTTTCACATCACCTTGTAACAGATAATAATTACCTTTGATAAAATTCATTTAAACAAAAGTAGGTTTACAACTATCCATTTTTAGTTGAAATAGGTACATACCTATCTACCTAAACACAACACAACCAACACGACTGTAACCTTTGTTTATCATGTGTGTCGCATCAGTTTGTGAGGCTGCTTGAATTTATTTCAATTCTGCAATAACTTTTGAGATATTAATTTGAATTGTATGATGTGAAGGGCAATTATAATTTACATGAAATACACAAGGTTACTAAGTACTTATTTGATAAGATACAATATAATAAGATATACATAGCCTTCCAATTATCACACTGTTCTGTTTTTAAAATCTGTTTTAAAATCTGTTTTTTCCGTTAACCAGCTGTCGCACCCCTACGAACGACAACCCTCAGAAGTCGAAACTTGTGCGAGCTAAGGATTAACGATGTCTTACCTTTTAACGTGTGATTTCTAACACGGGTTGGACGATAGCAAGTGAAAATCGATCGTTCAGACTAGAGCTTAAACCACCGACCAAGACGGCAGTCAATTCGAGTGAGTGAACAAAGCACTCACGTCGAACCGCCTGGCTACCGACCGACCGACACTATATTTACCTATTATTTTATACATTAAAATGGGTGTAGTTATCTATCCTTAAAAAATTCACATATGCCATCGCCAACCTTTTGTAGACCTATGAAAAAAGAACAATATGTAGTGAATTTTTTTGTTGTGTCTCAAAGGGATTAGGCAGCGTTTTCGACAAAAACTCTCTGGGTAGCACCACCGCCCTGATTTCTTATGTAAAATGTAATGTTCCAAATTCAGAAAAATCATTTTTGAATTATTCACACAAATTTTTCTCTTGAATCATCCCAACCATTGGTGAAAACCATATGCGAATTCGTTTGGTAGTTTTGGAGTTTATCACTTTCAGACAGACACGCTGGGGACTTTGATTTATGAATTTCATTTGTTTGGACTTCCATTGTCTGATATTATATAAAATGATTTGAAATCCCTGAAAGAACTAATAAAATTCTTCTTCTTTTTTATTAGTTCTATCTGGGATTTCAAATGATTTTATATAATCAGGCAATGGAAGTCCGAACTAATGAAATTCATCATGAAACATCGTCAATCACCTTCAGACTTTGTTTTATATTATACCGATTGTTCACTAGTTCATATGAGAATAGGATTATTTAAAAAAGTTTCAAGAAATTACATAATACTGAAACAAAATCTGTAGTTGATAATTATGGATGCATCAAAATTTTTGAGTGTCGGGTAGAATCACGCAATGTCCCAGATTTCGAGGAATGTGTTGCTTTCTACAATAAAGATATGAAACATGTAGTCTTTCACCAGGAAACTTGAGATTTTGTCAGGTCCAAATTATAAGTTTGTTTCTCAATTTTACTAATCTTGAATTACACCTTGAGTACACGATTCATAATGGGTTTAATGAACTTTTCTTTGGAGTACCAATAAAATTAAACTTTTTTTTTCTTGAAACAACACAGTCAAACGACAACTTAAACCATGAACAGACATCATTATAAATATTAAAATGAAAAAAAATTTGTCACATTTCCTCACTATTCATGTTTCCATTTCTCCTAATAACCTATTTATCAACCCTAGATACGAAGTAAACGATAAGGGACAAGTGCTTCTGGAGCATCATTTATCTCCTGCTTGCGGACTGGATGTGAAAATTTTGAAAGGTGTCGACATAGCCACAACAGTGACCGGCTTAGCCTCAGGAGGGGTTTTCATCGCTGCTGCCATTCCTTTCATTACTGTTGCACCAGCAGTGTTGATTGCGGCCGGGGCCTTTGGGATTGGTACGGGAGTATATGCAATTGGACGAAGCATCCATACTCTCATTGACAGATCAAAACACAAAGAGGTAAGTTGAAATAGCAGGTTAGGTCAAGTCCAAAATGACTAAGTCAATTTGACACTCTAACCCGCAGGGGTTTATTGTGGCTCACACCTATTTAATTTTGATGAAATAAGCCCAGCTTCTCAGAGTACCCTGTTAGTAAACCTGTTTGGCAGTGTAGGTCATCCCTGCTGTCTTACGATTTTTTGGTGACATACTTCGAAGGATGTATCAATCCATTGGAAGATTTTGCCCGAAGGCTGAAACTCTTCTTGCAAACCGGGTATTCAATGTTTCTTCAACAACATGTATAAATGACAGGTTCTGATCTGATTAAACCTTTGCAGCACCCTCCCTTGTGAAGCAGTTAGCAGCTTCATTACCTTGTGGCCAGAAATGAAGATCAGATATTTTTTTGAAATTCAATACCAACTTGGATTTTGCTTGGTAAGAGCCAAATACTTGAGCAGACACTTTTCCGGGCTATCCAGCTATCCAAGAATATATTTATTGATTTATAAATGAGATTGGTTTTTGACAATGTCTTCAAACATCAATCAGTGGCGAAGAGTTCTGCCTGAAATATGTTTCAATTCAAATGATTATTTTATTTGGTACTTAGGCGCCTTCTAAGGTCCATTTCTTTGAAGTCTCCCTGAAGTACTGTAGATTCCCATTTTTTCATGACATCCATTCAATAATCTTGTTCCCTCTTCTAATTTGTACAGGTGCTTTCTTGAATATTTTCCACATTCTTCTAGATATAATTTGAATTGTTCATTTGCATAAAACATAACAAGCTGTCTGGCCTTTTGTTGTTGTCTGTCCCTTTGTTGTATTACCTGTAGCTAAGGTCTCCATTATACAACCCCATTTTGTTCACGTGTTTTCTGAATAGACAAATCCAATGAGTTGCTCTGTAATTATGCTGAGCTAATTTCAGCCCTGTGGAAGCAGATCTGTAGATTTGTTCTCATACGGTTCCTTTTCAAAGGTTTTCCTGTGTATGTGTCACAGGTCTTTTTTTCCTCTTCTTATGTTTCTCATTGACCTATTTTATGATCTGGCATTATATATGAGGCGCTAATAATTCGTTAGTTTATTTTTATTATTTCTATTATTTTGTCACGAAATATAACAGTTCTATGGCTGCAATATTCATGATCTGGCATTATATATGAGGCGCTAATAATTCATTAGTTTATTTTTATTATTTCTATTATTTTGTCACGAAATATAACAGTTCTATGGCTGCAATATTCTTGAAATTGTTAACTCGCACATCTAAAATTTATAAGACATTAGGTGGGTGTATGGGTTACATATAACTATCTATTTTTAGTCACAGGTAACTATCAGTTATTTGAGTTCATAAAATACGCCTTCATATAATCTTATTTATTAAGCAAATCCATTTTGAGTTATTGAGGCAAACAAAGTTTTATGTTTTAAAATGCCATTCATTAGAACTTCTCCATCATCCATCAATTATCGTCTTGAATTCTTTATTGTTCAAATTACCCTGAGAAACTCTTCTTGATCCAGATGATTTTGAGAAAAAAGTTTTTTTGATTTCTACTTCTCGATCTTCATACAGAAATTGTGTGGAACTTCCAAAGAAAGGAATAAAGCAATTAGTTTCAAAATAAACTCTTTACATTGATGCGTAGATCATGCATAGAAGTTACTTTCAGATACAAACTGAAAGGAAAATCCCTCNCCCCTAAATCCTAGATTAAAAAGTTTGGTTTCAATAAAGTCATAAGATAGACAGTCAAATGCACGTGAGAGGTCAAAAAATATTCCTGCCACGTGCATACCATTGTCTAGGGAGTTATAGATGATTTCAGCAAAACTACAGGCAGCTGACTGTGTGGACTGTGGATTCAGTGAGAATCTTAAAATTCAACATAAAGTTAGCCATTCTCTCGTTAACTAGTTTCTCAAAGATTTTTGAGAAAATACTTAAAAGAGCGATAGGACGATAGTTAGTCACATCTGATGTTTCTTTACTTTTGTGAATGGGAATAATAATGGCCGTCTTCAAGAGTGATGGAAATTTGCCGGTTGTGATAGACTGATTGAACAGGTGAGCTAGATGCTTAGAGATCAATACCCCATTTTCTTTTATGATTCTTACTGAGATATTGTCGTGGCCTGTGCTTTTTTTATTTTTTAAACCATTTATAATATCGATAACTTCCTCTTCAGTTATTGGCGCAAAGAAGAATGTGTTTGTTAAAATGTTGGAAGATGTGCATATAGATGATCTATTGCTACCTAAATGTTTTTGTAAGTTATCTTCTACTACTGATGAGAAGTAATCACCGAAAGTATTAGCCACCCTTTTTTTATCAGTGATCAACTCATTGCCATGGTTGAGAATGATGTCAAATTGTTTTTTCCCTCTACCCATTTCCTTGTTAACTAGGTTCCAGACTATATAAACAATATATAAAAAATATAAAGTTTCAATATAATCTTCAATAGCAAAGTTTCGGAATATGACACTTGTCTTATTGCTTCATTAGCACCTTTATGGATATTACAAGGTGAAGCAATCATTCCATTCATAACATTACAACAATATCATCACAGTATTATTCACAATGCCGCGAGCGAGAAGCTTGAATTTTCCACTACTAAACAATATTGCAAATAGACTGCGGAATATTGAGAATCAGTCCACTACAAATGAAGAGGAAATCATATAAAGAATCGCTTGTTCAGTGTTGCTAGGCCCACTATTTTCTTATTAGATCTCCTGTTGTACTCAAACGATTATTATTACATCGAAAACCTTTCAATTCCTTTATGCTACTCTTTAAGTCTCCCTGGAGCCAGAAGGTTGGAGCTTCACATATTTTGCGATACCAGCAGAAAAACTTTCGATACTTCCGCCTAGCTGAGTATATTCACCCTCGACTGGGTGAAATGCACTTGCATAATAAAATAAGCAAGATTGGTTCTGAAACTGCTAATTTGTTTGCTGAACATTTTTCATCTGTATACGTTACGTCAGACAATCATATTTCGGATATAAGGTATTATTGTATTGTTAATGTCAAAAAGTGTAAAGTATCAGTGAGTGAAGTGTTTGATAAAATCTCAAACTCGAAAGATAGTGTTTGCTGGGGTCCTGATGGAATCCCTTCATACTTTTTGAAAAGGTGCACTAACCCGGGAAGAATCCAAAAAAATTAAATTTTTTATATGTCTCTGGATCAAAGTATTTTTCCAGATTTTTTGAAATATAGCTTTATAAGAACAATCTTGTTGAGGATATCTGAAATTATAGAGGTATTTGTTTATAGTCTTGTTTGCCTAAAATGCTGGACTCTTTTTACTATCTATTCAAAATAAAATCTTAAATGCTTTCGAAAAGGGGTATTAGGTTCACTCTATCTACACAGACTTCTCGAAAGCATTTGATAGAGTAAAGCATAGAGAAGGCATATGGCATCACTGGTAATCTACTGAACTGGCTCCATAGCTTCTTAACTGGTAGGTATCAATAGGTTAAAATTGGCAATTATATTTCAGATAGTATTGAAGTTCATCCTGGGGTTCCCTGGGTCAATGACATTGCCCTAAGTATAGAGTATTCTCAATTTCTATTATTCGCTGACGATTTAAATATTTTCAAAGTTATTAAAAATTAAATTAATTGCCATGAACTTCAGAGTGATATCAATAACCTTGTACATTAGTGCAATTCCAATGGAATGGATCTGAACCTCAATAAATGCTTCTTTATAAATTACAACAGAAATCATACATCCATTGATTTTTCATAATCTATCAATTCATTAGACCTCGAAGGGGGGGGGAAACTATTGTTTTCTCAACACATAATAATGATCTCCCTGAAAGCACACAAGATGCTAGGTTACATCAAGAGAGTATCCAGAGACCTCTCAAACTTGGAATATGCGTCAGTGGTATGGAATCCTTACTATCAGACTTGTATTAATATGCTGGAAACAGTTCAACACACACAGTTCTGCATACAAATTAGGAATCCATGTGGACAATTATGACTATGATTATCCAGCCCTATGTTTATCTTTGAATATAACTACTGTTGTGAACAGAAGAATTGAAACTGACTTATGCTTTTTGTTCAAGTTGCTAGCTGGTGAAGTTTTTATCCCAGAGCTCCCGTCTCAAAAAACCAAGAAAGTACTTGATAAAATAGCTGCGTAAACGCAAGCGAAACATAAGTGGAACCACCTATTGGTGTGACACTCAAGTCAACTTGCCAAGTTTTTATGTCAGTGTTGGTGGTTTGACCAATCAACCGACAACTGCGGTGGCAGATATTTGGGAAGCTAACCTGAAATGCCATATGGAATTATTTTCCAGCAGCTTGACTGCATTAAGCTTTTTAGATTTTATATATGTAGGACTGGAATTTTATATAACTTCTACAATGCTGTAATGGACATTACAGCAATAATTAATAAATAAATAAAATAAGATTTTGGAAGATTAATAGAGAGAATGAGAGAAAAACTACTTCATGAGAAGGATGTTATATTTCTATGGAACATATTCTATATATATAGCTGTTTCCAATAGATATTTTTTCGTTGATGAAAAATAACCTTTGACATTTTTTTTCACAAAATGATCAGGCATACTTGGAGACTGGGTGTAAATAAAATTATCTAAAAGAACAATTCATTCAGGCCAGTCTCAACTTACCCACGCTGTAGGCTAATGGACTGGCACCTATCAGAAAACAACTACTCCCCTGGCTAAAACCACGCAGGGAGTTGGATTACAGGTGTCAGTGCAGGACTCTTCACAGAAGCCATTCCTCCATATGCTGTTGGCGATACAACTGCCGGAATCGATTTTCAATAACTGGAACATACTTGCAGACCGGTTTCGGGCTATTTGGCCACTCGTCAATGCAAGGTAGTGTCTATCATCAACATGAAGTCGATGATTTCCCATAATCAAAAATCGAATTCCTTCCAGAGTATCTACCATCGATAAAACTAGGCTGAAGCAAACGAGAAACAAAATATTTGTCATCGCTCCCATCTGCCCGCGAACGAGGTAACTAACCGCATATCATGATGATATGCGGTTGCACTGACGAGTGGCTAAATATCCCGAAATCGGTCTGCAAGTGTGTTCCGATAATTGAAAATCGATTCCGGCAGTTGTATCGCCAACAGCATATGCAGGAATGGCTTCCGTGAAGAGTCCCGCACTGACACCTGTCGGATATAATCCAACACTCTACGGGATATTAGCCAGAGGAGTAGTTGTTTTCTGATAAGTATCAGTCCATGAACATACAGTGTAGGTAAGTTGAGACTGGCCTAAACGAATTGTTCTTTTAGATAATTTGACTTTTGACATTATCATATATTTGTAAGACGAAAGGTGATAAAACTATTTGATAAGTACGAAAAGTTGTTTTGACGAAGACTTAACACAGTCTCCATAAAAACAGACGCAAGGAAAAACTGCCAACGGTTTTGTTGTTTCAGACGCTCAGTTTTGCTAATTCAGATGCTAGAGGTGCCTATTTGAATATACTTGCCGGTTCTCTGGGCTTTGTTGGCGCAGGCACCAACGTTCTGGTTTCCCAACTGGTTGCAAACGGCGTTAACATTTCAAAGGTAAAATTTCAAATCTTCTTTATCTAGATATTTTTTTTTTATTTATTTCATTTGTATTATTGCTTTTAGGGCGCTGGAGCAATTGTTAACACAATCGGCATCGTCAATCTAGGCGCCAGCGGAGCCAGTGTTCTGAACACGGGATACGATGTGGTGGATAGATGGATAAATGAGAATGAAACTCCCTCTGCTTTGACTGTTTTGCAATTGAGTTCATCTATTTTGTTCTTCGGAAACGCCGTTTATAGTTTCAAAACCTGTTCCACTATCGTCGAAGAAACGCAAGCAAAAACTTTAAAGAATTATCAGGATTCGTTGAGAAGCAATAGACACAGGTGAGAATAATGTATATTAGGTTAATTTTTTTCAAGATTTTTTTTTCTATCTTTTTGGCATGTGTACTGTGATTTCTATATACCCAAAAGTAATTCTAGAAACAACTATTCATAAATGTTTCAAAGATATATTCCAGGTTTGTTGGCCCTAGTCGGCAGGTTTTGATGCCTAATGTTTCGTCTATGACTGCGGCATACATAAAATTCGTTGAGGCAACATACGAAGTGCTCTAGTTGTCCTTACAGCAGATCTACATTGTTGGTTTTGATCTCCGTGTTAATGTAACTCCAAATGGACCCGTTGTTGGAAAAGTATTCTTGCTCTATGTGAAATCGATATTCAGGCCAATGACAACCATCAGAGAAAATCTATTTCAGAACCTTGAAGAGAAGTGGAAATATCAGGTTATCTGAACACAAGATAAATTATCACATGGGACATACCGACAAATCAACAGACACGAAATATGCCTTCAGATAAGGCACCCATGTTATCGCGTTTGAAGACATGAAGTGCTCAATAGAACTTGGAGCTACTATTTAAGACTATACAGGAAGGCAACGAAAGTTCAGAAACATCGAAATAATTTCCTTCAAAAGGAAAAGGGACCCAAGATAAATAAATTCTAGCTACCTGCACCTTATTTCACATGTATCAGATCATTTAATTCAACCAATAGGAATGAAGGCTTTGAAGGAACTAAATGTATTATAAAGAGTGGTGTGAGGTGGTGTCCAAAAATTTCACATCGCTTCTAACAAGGAGTACATTTGAGATGTGGCTATTAAACAGCTGAATGTTGCTGAATAAGTATATATTATATTAGTAAACTTGTGAAATTCAATGTATTTTCCATAAAATCGGGTAAATGAGAGTATTTCAAGTTCACTCTTGTTTATACAAAAATTATAAAAATATCACGTTGATCGATTGCATTTATCTTCATTTAGCGGATAAATCACTATACAGGGCGTTTATTTTATTATGTAGTAACATTGTTATATTCTAAACTGCAACAATTTGTTAATCTTTATGAAGTTGTATTTGCTTACTCAAAATATTATTTGCTTTCTCACACTTCCAGTGACAACATATTTTTGAGTTCTATTTCTGTCAAAGGTGCCTCTCAAATTTCTTTCAAATTGTCGAAACATTAGAATGTTTGGAATGCGATTCGGGTATAGCTCACCATACATACAGGGTGTTTCAAATTTGATCCTCACTGTTGGGATCTCGGAAACTATGAGAGATACGAAGATGATTTTATTTGGGCAAAGTTGCGTATTTACCTGACTAACAATATGCCGTTGAGGAAGTTCTGAAATTCCGAGTATATCTGGAGATATCCGGAAAAAACAGAAATTTCGGAAAATGGTTTTTTTTTTTCTGGCTTTATTTTTTGAAGGATTCTAAAATAAATTGCACTTCCACATTGCCACTTTTTCCCTGCCACATAATTGTGTTTTCAGATTTGCTATACGACGTTTCGTCTTCCGGCCACCATCATCAACTTCATTTTTTCTTATGGGCGCTATCTTGAATTCTTTCTATTTTGAATAGAACCAGATTTAGCTTTTCAATGATGTACCATCAATTTTCATTCTTTTTCGAAAAATTGGAGATATTGAAAAAAATCAATTCTTATCATGATAGGCATTGACTTTGATGACTCAATAACATTTTGTTATTGTAGAAATCCTTATGATGCACTGTTTGGAACCTTTGGTGTAGTAATGAATATTACTGAAGGTTTTTCCCAACTCCAAATCGTTATTTTTAACACCTCGACACGTGTTTCGATCACCATTTTAATCTTCCTCTTTGAAGATGATCACTTGGTGATCGAAACACGTGTCGAGGTGTTAAAAATAACGATTTGATGCTCGGTAAGATTTTGATCCAATAACTTGAACATAGTAGAGAAATTCGACCTCAAGTGCCATTTGGTATTAACGTGTGGGCAGGATTTTACAAAGATATAATTTTGGGTCCTCATTTATTTGACGGAATTCTGAATGGAGAAAGCTATCACCAAATTTTAATGTCGATATATGAAGTCTATTTGGATGATCTACCTTTGGTTAACTATAACAATATTTAGTTTCAACATAATGGTGTTCCACCGCACACTACCAGACGAGTATCTAATTACCTGACTGAAAGGTTTGGTGATAAATGAATAGGGAATAATGGGCCGGTGAGGTGGCCAGCAAGGTCTTCAGACTCAAGTGTTATGGATACATTCTTATGGGGTACACTGATAAATAGAGTTTATGGTTAGAGGGAATATAAAAATATTGAGGACCTTCAACACAGCATTGTTAGAGAGTTCGGAAGATTGAGGAGGAGGTAAATTAATCGTACAGTGAATAATATTCGAAGAAGGGCACAGTTGTGTTATCATGAAAACCAGCATTTTGAGCATTTGCTGTGATTTACTTGTTTATTTAAATTTTAGTTAATTAATGTTATTTGTTCAAAGTTTTATTTTCATTGAAAAGGACACAATGCCTAATTTACCTCATGCATACCTCATTTATTAAATTTGATTGTTGATTCTGTTTCCGTAATTTTTCATTGGCTTCTCAAACAAACCAAACTCGGTAAGATTTTGATCCAATAACTTGAACATAGTTCGATGAGGTTGTCGTCTTTCGGGAAACAAGTTTAAATATAATTCCGATGTCCTGACACTGTTTCTATCGTATTTGTGATAAATTTGTATCATATCTCTTTTTTCTTCATTCGTGAAAGCTATTTTTCGCCAAAAATTCTATGACTTGTACAATAACGAAATGTCAAGTGTAACAAATTGAAAGTCAAATTTAAAAACATCAAAGTCAAAGCCTATTATGAAAATAATTATTTTTTTTCAATATCTCCAATTTTTTGAAAAAGAATGGTGGCTTATGATACATCATTGAAAAGGTAATATCTGGTTCTATTCAAAACAGAAAGAATCCAATGTAGCGCCAATAAGAAAAAATAAAGTTGATGGTGGCCGGAATATCCGGATATCTCCAGATATACTGGAGTTTCAGAACTTTCTCAACGGCATATTGTTAGTCAGGTAAATGCGCAACTTTGCCCCAATTCAACCATATTCGTATCTCTCATAGTTTCCGAGATTTCAATGGTGGGGATCAAATTTGAAACACCCTGTATTTCTGGCCAAAACAGGATTTCTATTTGATTTTGTGTAAGTCACTCGTAAATAAATAAATAAATAAGTAAATAGTATATCAGTCCTTTCATCATTTGAATACATCTTTAATGTGTAACCGAGTGTATAAACATCTTGACAGATATCAAAAACTCATTTATTTTTTCTACCATAGAAACCAAGCTTACGTTTAAAGAATGGCAATTGAAGTGAGATGCTATTTAATTGTACCAAATTCCGCAAAAATCTCATTTTCATAAAAAAATCATATTTTCGTTACCTCTAGGATTGAGAAATATAAAATTATTCCATATAAAAATTGATTCAGGAGGAATCTGAAAAGGAAAAAAAGGAATGTTCCTTGTGTTGCGGTAACTTCTTTTCGAAATTACTGGGGTAATGTCTAAGGCAGGGGTCAGTAAGTAGTTTTAGGTAGGGTCCGGTAACTGTGGGAACATTTTTACGAGGTCCAGAAAAAAGCAACTGATAAAAATTTGGTTTTGGTTTCAGATCAAATTCTGAATTATAAAACACAGTTTTTTATAGTTTGGTTCTTGAGAGGAACAGCAAATTCGAAGTGTGTTTTCTAGGTGGGCGTCCGTTAATCTCGAACGATATTTCTTTTTCAAAAAATTAATCTTCAAGAAAGATGTTTCACATACATATGTCGAGCCAAAAATAGTGGCCAAATTTATTCAATAACTTGACTTTTACTTAGACAACGAACATTTTGTCGTGTTGCATTTAAGTCAGAATACGCTGTCAGAAAGAAACTCCTTGAATTGTCGATGCTGAAGAGCAAAATTAGATCTCATGAAATTAATCAACTTGACCAAGCTGTCCATCATTGCTTTCAGTGTAGCACTAAGTTTTCCACAAAGGGCCGCCTGGTGAATTATGGAGAGATACGATATTAGACCTGAGTTTTTATTTCTGATTCTCTTTAGTACACCTTTTTCTTTGCCAATCATTGCTGGGACCCCATCAGTTAAAAGCGACACCATAACTAATGTTAGATTTAGTAATAAATTCATCAATGACCGTGAATAAATCTTCCCCTCGAGTGTAACCTTTCAACGGCAATATTGCAACTCTTCTCTAAAAATCTGATACTCAATATCAAGAAATCTGACGAAAATAAACATTTGTTCATTATCAACAATGTCACATGATTCATCAAATGCTATGGCGTAGCAAGGTGCCTTTTACAGATGTTCAAGAAGAGTATTTTTAATATCAGTAGCAAAAATTTCCGTTTTTCGTGTATTACTTCTCGCTGATAATGGAATACTTTGTAATGCAGCGAAATCTTTTCTGCTTCAAAATGTGCCCTGACTACTACTAATAACATACATTTTTTCACCATCTCAGAATCCGAAAATGGTTTCTGCTATTTATTAAGCATCCAGCACACAAGTAGCGCAGCTTCTGTGGATTTTTCTTGCTTGCTTATGCAACGAACTAGTAATTTTTTGCTTTTTTTTGTGACAACTGAGATTGAAGTTTTTCTTTACGAGCCTTACTGCCAATAGGAAAGTTTTTGTGAAATTGCTGATGAGTTGTTTCGTAGTGTCGCTTCAAATTACAACTCTTAACAATAGCGACAGTTTTATTGCATATAAGGCACACTGGAATCACTTGAGGCCTATTAGGCAGCGTAAAACAATATTATTTAGTCCATTCTGCCAGAAACCCTTTATTTTCACTGTCCACTTCACGCTTTTTAGAATCCATCTTAGCATAGGTACGAAAATATGAAAACGCGAAAAATTACAAAACAAATGAACGGTTGCTCCGCGGTTTGCGTTACGACTGACAGTCTGCTTTCCTCGCCTA